AAAGAAAAAGGAATCCTACTCCAGTAAAAAGTTGGAAGAAGGAATTCTACTACAATAAGGAGTTGGAAATTTTCTTTGAATTCTGTTGAAACAAGGAAACAGCAATTTTGTTTATTCCTTCCTAAGTTAGGAATCCTAACACATTAAGGAATAGAAATCCCACTACAATAAGGAGTTGGAAAATTTTCTTTGAATTCTATTCAAACAAGCAGATAGCAATTTTGTTTATTCCTTCCTACGTTAGGAATCCTGCTACATTAAGGAATAGTCAAGTCAATTCCTACTAGGAAGTGCTTGAACTGATCTGTTCATTTTAATTTGTTTGGGTTGGTTTTTTTATTGCTTTTCTTGGTCGTTCCTTTGTGTCTTTTTGTTTCCTTTAACTCTTGCAGATTTGTTGGAGTTAGATTGCTGCAAAATAACTCGAATTGAGCATGTTTAGTTCAATAACGAACTGAAAGAGGAAAGTTGAGTGAGGGAAAAAGGCAAGAGGTGTGAGCAATACTTGAGAGAAAGGCCAAGTTCTATAGTGTGCAAAACACGAGCGTTGAGTGCCATTCTGTGAGAGAGTGGAGTGAAACATGTAAAGGAGTGTTGAGAGGTCCTTTTATTTTCTGTTTCTAACATTACTTGCAGGTTTCAATCATGTCAAGCGATGATGACAGAAAACACCAAGTGGATGATTCCTTCATGCTCAAAGCTATGCAACAACAATTTCAGAGGCTAGGCATCATGTTTGGTGAAAGTAAAGACAAAATGGAGAAGAAAGATGCAGCCATTGCCAAGTTATACCAAATACAGAATAGAAGTCCAAATTTGCATAATCACGATCTTGATGACAATGATGAAGACACATTCAACGATGATGCCCAGAACTCAAATTTCAGCATGGACAGATTTATGAGAAGTAGAGGGGGTCGAAGATATAGATTTAACAAAGGAGACCAAAATCTGGCAAGGTGGGGAGATCGGGAAGATCATGACTTAGGCAGCATCAAGATGAAGATTCCTCCATTCCAAGGAAAAAAGGTTAAAACCCCTTTTTGGTCCCCAAACTATTGTACGGACCCCCGATTTAGTCCTTGAACTAAAAAACTCCCTGACTTGGTCCCTACTGTTTACCCATTTTACCCCAACTTGATCCTTCTATTAAAAATCGTTTGTTAACTCACATATATATCAAAAATTTAAGCCACGTCAGTTGTACAACTGGATAAATGATTACATGGTCATACCCAACACAAAAAAAAAAGTGGGGCCCACCAAATTACAATTTTGCATCATCTTCTTCCTCCAGCATCTTCTTTCTCGAATCTTCCTTCATTCACACAATCAATTCAATCAAA